TCACAACCTGCCACAACCACACATAGTGTGTCCAGGCGGTGCGAGGGGACAGGACACGCACACGTGAACATCCACCAGCAAGCCACACCAAGCTCATTGCAACACAAGGACAAGCCAAGCAGAGAGAGAGGGGAGAATAAGCACAACCACAACAAGTGTCCTTGTGTCCAACACATACATGTTCCAACATGTCGTTTTGGTTGCTTTTGCACTCACTATACTTCCTCCCCACACGTGTTGTTGGCGATGGCCCTGATCTTGTTCTTCACCCCATCCTTCAGCTTCGTCTGCGCCAGCAACGCCTCCACCTCCCTCCTCGCTCTCTTCTCTCCGCCGGACATGGCGGCGCGTCGTCTTTTCTCCTTGTGGCTTGTTGTGACGTGTTCGTGAGTGGCTGGAAGAAGACGACGACAAAATGGACGACGACAACTCAACGCTGCTTTTTGTTTGTTTCCTTTGTGTGTGTGTTGTTGTTTTGCGACTCAGCCATTGGACGATTCGCAAAACCTTACAGAGTTTATCCGCAAAGCAGCGCTTCCGTGGAAGATGTTCGTCAACAATCTCTTCGAGCCCTCGTTGTCGACAGGAACACAACAAACAAACAGGATGAAGTGCCTCCAGCCAGCCAGCAATGCAACCCGACTCTCTTGTCGCCGAAAGGAACAACAGCCGCTCCCTCCTGGCTTGGTCTTGCCTGGTCGGTACAACACACCAATGTCTGTAGCCACATCAACACCACAAACATCACCGCCGCTCCACCATCACCACCGTCAACGGATCTCATCATTTTCATCGAGCCATTTACGGAGGAAAGAACAGGTCCGCCACACAACCCACAAACAACGCTCCCAACACACATCCACACACACAGCAGTGCCCAAATGCAACATGAAGCCAAGCCAACCAAACAACAACCAGCCCCTCTGCACATCAAACAACACCCTCCAGTTGCAAGCCAGAATCAAACACACACACAGCAGCAGCAGCAGCACACATCCACCAAACACACCAAGAACGTGTTCAGCCGTACACAGCGCCGTACAATAGAAACAACAGGCAAGCACAAGAAGGGCGTGACATAAGCAAGCAAGCAAGCAGGCAGGCGAGAGGGAGAGTGAAGGAAGGGAAGAACAGAACAGAAGAAGAGAAGAGAAGAAGAGGGAAGAGAGCAAGAAACGGAAACAAGAGGAATGCGACAGAGGAACCGACAGACATTCAGCCATTCGTTCAACTGGTGCACAAGTTGACACGACACATCACAACATGGCGACTACGCGAACGAGCCAAGCGCCTCAACAGCGCGCTGCACACGGGCGTGCACCTCCGGGGTCCTGCATCAACTGCCCCAACACCCCGTGGGCAGGCGAATCCTGCATGTTCTACGAGAGGAAACGACACGAGGGCGTGAGAATGAGGAGTGCAAAGAGGAGGAAGGAGGAGGAGGAGGAAGAGGAGGGAGGAAGAGGGGGATGGGAAAGTACATGAAGTACACGACAGTCGCGCATATTCGAGGCAGCAAACACACACACACACACATCACATAAATCACACACAACACAGCCCACGCACCATGAGGCTGTGTACATGCCCTGGCAGTGGGGCTCGCTGACGGCGGCCGCGGGGTGTGCCAATCACCTGCACAAACAAACGCCCGCACAATCTTCACCGGGCTCTCAGGCGCAGTCTCGCGTGGATCTTGCCTACAGAAGCAACAACAAAAGGAAGGAGAGGGAGGTATAGGAAGCAATGGGAGGGGGGACGGGGGAGTCAGTTGGGAACAAGAACGACAGGCGGCAGAGCACACCACCGACACATGCAGCACGACCAGGCCATGCACACACACACACACATACACACACACACACACACACACACACACACACACACACACACACACACACACACACACACAAAGCACAGCGGTAGCACTCACGCTTGGAGGAGCTCGACGAGGTATGTGAAGATGTACTTTGCCTCATCGTCGTCTTCTGTAATAGACAGCCAGTCAAGCGGATGTGTCAGCATCTCGTCTGTACAAGCGGTGATGGTGGATGGGTGGGTAAAGAATAAGCGACGACAACGTGATAACAAGAGCAAACAACCAACGCAAAGGACAGCGAAGAAGGAGTGTA